TTTGCACATGATTTGTGTAGTAATTTGACATGACCATGTGATTTGAATGAAGCTTTTCAAATTCCAAAGGACCCGGGTAGATTAGTTTCACACAATTTGAAAAAGGAATTCTATATGATCGAGTGGAATTCAAAATGTTGCATTGGTGGGAAAGGAGAAAGGCATATGGGTAGAAGGAAAGAGGCACGGTTTGCACACGAAATCCACACCGACGTGTCTCTCTCTAGGCCAAAAGCTACACAATTTGCCTTTTTCAAAACCTACCCTTATTAAACTAAAACCCTAGCCATGTCACTTCATCTTCTCTAAATTCCAAATTACTATCACCGACCTCCCGAACGATCATATATCCTAAGAAGGTGTGAAATAAAATAAAAAAATTTTCTCCATTTAAAGGACCTAAGATCAAGCTATTGAATCAACTAATCATATATTTATGAATTAAAGCATTAACTAAAGAATTACCTCTTATAGCATAGATTTAAACCCCTACGAAAAAAAGCCGTCTAAGTGCCCTACCTTTCTCGATAATCCATATAGTCCAAGCACCACATAAGAAGCACTCAAAATTTATAGAGTGCTAGCTCCTTCTTTTTTGACTTTGTTTAGTGTTTTAATTTAGAAATCTAATCGAGTTAATTTTACGAAAATCTTAGGTGAGAGAGCAAAAAGTGGTTTGTGCTAGGGTTAGGGAGAAAACTTTTTCTCCTTGGTTTTTTTTTATTGTTGCCGTGTGCCCTAGGTTTCTTTTTTCTTTGTGTCGAATTTCTCTTTTGTCTCAAAACTTATGTTTGCTGCACCTCTCTCCCATATATATAGGGGAGAGGCTTCCTTATCCTCTAAGGATAAGGAAAAGGTGGCAAACAACCCCTAAAGGACTCTAGGTTATTGCATCCTAATCCTCCGAGGATTAGGAGTTATTATGCATCCGAGCTTTTTTAATCTTATCATTCAAAACATTCATTCTTATACAATAAGATTCATGTTTATTCTTCTACCAAAGTATCTTTTAGGCTTTTAATTAAACCTTTTTGGCCTAAACTTTTTGGCTCAATTAATTAATTTGTACTATCTAAATAAATTAGGTTAGATAATTTTAGGTGGTCCATATTAGGAAATAATTTTTCAAAATACCTTTAAACCTAAATTAAGAAACTAATTTTCTTTTAGGTTATTTACTTTTAAATTTGGAACCGACTTCCAAATTAGGAAATCGATTTCTAAAATAGAAAACTTTCTATTTTAGGAAACTTTACATTTTAGGAGACTTTTCATTTTTGAAAATATTTTCCAAAATAGAAAACTTTCAAATTGAAAACTTTTTTCAACATCTTTGTGTCTCTTTTATTATGTGAATGCTTAAACTTATACGTGTGACTCAATATGGTCCTAGATATCTTGGTAATATATCAAGAGTAAAAGACACCTATTCTATCTCTTGATATATAAATCAAGATTGGCCTCTAGCAAGACATCATAACTCGTCCAATTCCGTAGGAGGATTTATTAAGTAATTATCTTTCACGAGCATAATTATTATACAATTCAATCATCATGTCAACTTATAATAGTATGATCTCAAAATTGGTTATTAGTCTTATTCGATTGCAATCACATAAGTTTTATTCGATTCTTAAATGTTCGAACTATTAGAGTAAACCAACCATACTCTATTGGTGTACTCCTACCGTGTTCATAGATTTCTTGAGCAAACATTCATCGAAGTGCAATATGATAACTTCTTTAGCATACAAGGAATGACATTTTATTTTAGTCATCCACCTACCTCTATTAGATTCTTAGTGCACCAAATAAATCGTCCATATGTAACCCTTTATTGGGTCCATTGGAACGATTGTCAAAGTATATAAATCCTCCAATGAGATAACCACGATGAATTTAAGTTTAAGGATCAGTTGTACCTATCTCATATGAGATTCTCATATACTAAACCAAATGGGCTCTTATGGTGAGTCAAGTCTAGCGATATATTTTCTAACATAAATCACCCGAGTGTTTGTTTTGCATTATCATGCCAATAGGTGTGATATCTCCTACCGCTACCATATAGTATAAGCATAGCACTCACAAGTCTAATCGCATATTATCAATATCTATTGTCAACAATGCTATAACTTGGGATATTTAATTATATCATTCATGTGCTTTAGTGTTTATCTCACATCTTTCGATCAATCATTAATGTAAATACATATTATAAGGACTTCTATTTAATTCTATTCAATAAGTAAATATAAGACTTAAAAATTAATAAAAAGACTTCTTTTATTATTAACAAAATAAATAATGCAATAATACAATAACCCAAACCTATCCAAACATGGTTGGATCTTGGACATCTACACTAACACCTCCTTCTCTATCTTTTCATCTCTCTCAAATCCTCACCTTTCTCACACATATAACTAGCCACCATACCATCCCGCCTCCATAAATCAACACTACCATTCCATTATAAACCACTAAAAACCTCACTTCACCACCTACTCCTAACTAAAGAACTCATCCTTCTCCATCAAAAGCTCACCAAGGACAACAATGTTTACTTCAAGAGACAAGAGGAAGCAAATAACATAACCGGAAAAGGGCACCCATCGAAAGATGGTGCTTAACGAGAAGGCTACCCATCTTGATCTTACCCTAGAATTGAATTTATAGATAAAGCTCAAGAATTCCATTATAATGTCTTAAAGAATAGAAGAATTGTGTCAAACGTGTATGCGGATCTTCATGCACTAGAAATAGTGAGATTGTTGAGAGAAGTGAGGGAGATGCTAAAAAGTGTAGGGTGGGTAAGTTAATGAAGATATCGTTTTATAAGGAATTGACCTTAGAGTTCTTAAGTTTGTTTCAATTAAAAATATTAAGGGAGCATCAACGAGCGAGCTTATGACTATTTCACATTTCGGATAGCAAATAAAAAGTGTAGTGTTGATGTGGAAACCATAGTAGACATATTTTGTTCGCTCACGATGGTGAAAAGCAATCACATTCTAGATTTGAGAAATCCTTTTAAAGGAAAATCATGGGTTGACAAATGAAGGTGTATAATCCATCACAATCGAAACCCTCAATAATCGTAAACCTAGCTTTTTAATACATACACGGTATCCTAACATGGACATTATGAGGTAAGGAAAACAATAATGGGGTGGTGGGCAAGTTAGAGTTGGCAATTCGTTCTTCATCACCCACAAGGTGAAGGGAAATTTTACGTATATTCTAGCGATCGCTTTTTGACGATCAAGAAATTGATCGACGATGAATTTTTTATGGGTGGATTCATCACCCACATTATTGAGAAAGTGAGGATGTTCAACAAGAACACTACTACATTAACACTAGCAAAAGGGTTCGAGCGAATGACCCTTAAGAAATTAATCAAGATCGAGTTGTTGGAAAAGAAAAGGAAAAGATACTTCATCCGGCCAACTAAAAGACAAAAGCGAGAGACAAGAAGTGACGAGTGATGAAGAGGGCAATGATGAGGCATAACCTGCGACCAAAGAGGTTTCATAAACGGGTGCCTCGAGTGGCTATTCAAAATGGTTAGAGCAACCGAGCATCGCGGTTGGTTAACTTCTAGTTCAATGTCAATAGCTGGTTTGACACGTTGAATGAATAAGTCGAGACCATAACAAATGCCAATAGCCGATTTGATTTGTTGAGTGAACAAATTCAAACGACAAACAACAATGCCGTAGTGGACTTTCACATGGTTAACACCCGGATTGGCCATCTCTCGCAATGCCTTCACGTACATTTTTCACCATCGCCACCGCCTTCATTCCGAAAATGACCATCCAGACTTTACTTTCTTATTCCTTTATCTCTTTATGCTATTTTAATTTGATTATCGGTGTTGTACATTGAGGATAATGTCAAAGTTAAGTGTGGAGGTGCATTTAGCATTTAGGTAGGTGTGTGTGTGAAAAGTTAAAAGCGTATTTCAAATTATTTATCTTAGTCAACTAAGTATGATCAACACGTATAAAAAAAATTTCAATTTTATTAAAAATTAATTATACATCTTTACAAATAACATCAACCATTCGCTATAATTTTTTTTAATACTATAAAAATCAAATTATTTGAAATAAAGTAAAATTTTAAAGAAACCAACTAATTATTCAATTACTATTTTTATGCTGAAATTATTGATTATTTTGTAAATAAATATATATAGATCAAATGCATATATTTCAAAAATTGATCTTCTCATTATTAATAAATAAAAATAATTTTTTATAAATTAGTTTTTATACAAATCTATACATTAATTGTAATTTTTATTTTTTTAATACATTCTTATGAAAAATATATTTTGAAAATACTTTTATTTATTTATTTCTTGATAAATATTTCGATTTAAATTATTTAAAAAAATTTTATTTAAAAATAAATGCATAAAAGAATCATGTTTTTTTAAGTAAAACATTTATGAAAAACATAAAAAAAATTAATAAAAAAATTATGAATTTTAAAATGCTTTTATTTTAATCGACATGCAACATAGCATGGATAAACAACTTCTCTCTCTCTCTCTCTCTCTATATATATATATATATATATAACAACATTGTAAAATTTTTATCTATAAGAATTAAAAAGATTTTATAAAAGAAGTTAAAGAAAATGAAAAATAAACAGTAAAGAAAAATTGATAATATTATTTTAAAATTATTATTTTACTCATTCGAGTAAGAGAAAAAATAACACGAATTATATGCGGAACACATGAACTAACTACTCAGGCCGCTCCATGGATCGACATATAGGCTTCAATTGTTCACTTTCTCCCTATTGGCTCTCCTAAAATATTAGTAGAAGGCAGTAACTGAGACAAAATGGACGTCATACTCTTAAGAAGAAATATTAATTGCATATGTACAAGAGTAAATTCTGCAAACAAAGGCTATTAGCTATGTGTGTACATATATAAATAAAAAAGAAAAAAGAAAAAAAAAGCAACAGCTGAGTTAGTGCAGCTCCACAAAATCATCGGAGCCATCCTTTTCATCTTCAGCAAAATACTTATCCTCGGCATCATGGTTCGCTTCCCTCACCCAGTGATCATCCAAGGTCTCATCCTCATCTATTTTTGAGTAATCTAAGTGCTGATGATCTTCCCCAGCAAGGAACTTTTGGTGCATGATATAGGTAAAATGGTCCATCATATCTCCCATCTCTTCAGCCGATAAAGTTGCCACCACATTATCCTCTGCCTTACTTGATTGAGCATGCTTGTTCTCTTCTGGCATCTGAAATGATGGAAAACAAAATCTTATTGGCATGCATTCTATTGGCCGTTTAACTACTCTTAACAGTGAATTTTAAATTTAGAAGTTATATAATAGTTTTGCAGTGGCGAAACATGTAAGGACTCAAAGTCACATGGCACCTTTCATCAAATGTCCTCGCATTATATGACCCGAGAGGAAAATTCAGAAATAAGCAGAGACCATATAATTCGTACTATGAAGAATGAACATTCGCAACATCACTGAGATAGTTATTAGTTGGGATTGCGAGGGTGCTTTGCAGTGTTTTGCAATGTGCTGCCATGCACTACAATCCCAAAAGAAGAATCATCTCACGATAGCATTACAGAACCCGCAATGGAATGCAGGTAAAATGCTATGTTAGCCTTATATTTCATACAAGTGGCATACTGTCTCATTATCATGGTTCATAAATGGCTGACCAGAATCTAATATTCATTCTTGTTGGTCGTGGTGATTATATATATTTGATAATAGCCTAATGTTAACTTATTTGATGTTCAATGTGCAACTGGGAGACCTTCGTATCTCTAATGAAACAGATAAAATACAACAGCTCTGGTGGTCAGATTGAAAGTTTTGAAAAGTCCAGCATTGCTATAGTAATCAAAAAGGGAAATAAAAAATGGAAGGCATTATTGCAGAGAGCAACTCTCAAAGAAATGAAAGCAAATTACAGCTCAAGAAAACCTCATAAAGATTCTAAATTCAGAAAAAGAAACTAGAATATCCGACTCGCATAGTTGAGTGCGAGAAATGCCAAAAGCAGAACAGTACACTAATGAATCTCAGTCCTTCACTAGCAGACTCAGACACAAGGAAAATCGATACAATGTATTGCAGAGTAAAGAAAATTAGTTACCAAGTCTTGAAAATCTTTCCATTTTGTTAAAAGAACCGAAAATGGAGGTCAGACGATTGAGAGGGCATTTGAATGTTCAAAACAATTATAAATCAGACGGAGCAAAAGAAATAACTATGACATACAAACAGCAAGAATCACTAACAAGCAAGTTTTAGCTAGATAATACACAAATGATTAATAACGTGCATCGTGAAAAATCTTAATAAAGCACCCTAAAAAGCAGATGATATTTAAGATTAGACTTAAAAGAACAAGCTCAAATACGTACCTCAGTGGAACTCACACCACCGTTAACCTTCTTTGCTTCTTCATTCCCCTCTTCCTCATCACTTTCTTCTTCCTCTTCCTCCTCCTCCTCCTCCTCCTCTTGTTGCTGTTGGTTCCTCTCATTACCCACCCATTCCATCTCATCCACACCCAACCTCTGCTGCTCCTCCCTAATCTTGGAAATCAAAATGGCTTCCTCACACCTCCTCATCAACGTCTCCGACCACCTCTCTCCTGGCCTCGCCATTCCCCTAGCGGTTGGATCCTGAAACTTGCCAACAAACTCATGATGCAAATACGGCTCTCTCTCCCTCATTGCATCCTCTGAGAAGTACTTCCCATCAAGTATCAGTTTATCCAAGTAAGCCAATCTCCGGTTCTTCACCGTCACAGACCTCGACTTCAATTCCTCCAAAGTCGGACTCATCTTGGTTCTAAGATTTTTCAGGTGCCAGTTTATCTCATAGTCCTCGTTCAGTATATCAAATTCCCGTAGCTCCTCAGAGTTCAATTGTGCTCCGTATCTCTCTACGTCGACATATCCACAAAAATAAATAAATATATTAATTTGCTAAAGTAATTAAACAGATAATTAAAAAAACTAAACAAACAAATCATGATTTTTTCCAATTGATTGGCTCGAATCAGCTAATTTTATCACATAAGAATCAACAAATAAAGAACTTTTTTTTGTTAAAAGAAGAGAGATAAGACTTAAACAAAATATTAAGAATAGTAAATAGATAAACAAACCTAAGAAAACGGCGGCATCGCGAGAGAGGAGGTCGAGGAGGAGAGACTTGCGTTGAGAGGGATTAGTGGCGTCAGATTGTAAAGCGCGAGGGAAATAGAGGTCCTCCAATAAAGAGAGCCTCTCTGTCATGCTCTCCATTGCTTCTTTCCTCACTTCTTTTCCCTGCTCTGGCTGCTGCTGCATTTTTCCTTTCTTTTGTTTCTGATAAATGAATTTCTTTCTGATTTGTTTCTCTCCTCTCTCTTTCTCAAGTGTCTGTCTTTTTTGCTCGTTGAAGTCGGTGTTTTGTTGTCGGATAAAAGAACACCGACACGTCACCTGATCAGATATGAAGCCATAGTTGTACTGCACGTTTACCAACTTTTAACCGGATGATTTTTTTTTTTCATTTGAATAAATATTTTTTTAAAAAAAATTATGTATTCTATTTTTTTTCTTAATAAAGTATATAGATTTTAATTTTTTCTATCTAATTATATTAATTTTTTCAAAACTATCAATCAAATATTTTCATTAATTTTTTTATTAATTGATAATATATTTGTAACTTCTAGAATACTAAATTATAATTTTTTTTTTGTTGGAGATAAACTTTCTTCTCAAATATTCACAAGTAATGAATTTTCTTGGTGAAAAATTTCACTTTTTTGTTTTCTTTCAAATTTCATGCCTAAGCCTAACCAAATTTAGTTCGGTAGTTTATATATAAAAAAAAAAATTTTTTCAAATGTTCACAAGTAATGAATTTTCTTGATGAAAAATTTCACATTTTCGTTTCGTTTCAAATTTCATACCTAAACCTAACCAAATTTAGTTTGGTGTTTTACATAAAAATATATATATATATATATATATATATATATATATATATATATATATATATATTTTTTAATTATTTGTCAAATTTTAAAATGATATAATAGTTTGAGAGAAAATTCCTTCTAACAAAAAGAAGGTAAATTTGTAATTTTGTATTATAGATGTAGCAAACATGTCATTAGTTAACAGGTAAATTAACAAAAATATTTGATTAATAATTTAAAAAAAATCAAGGTACTCAAATAAAAAGAATTAAAATTTATATATTCGATTGAGAAATAAAAAGATATAATTATAATTTGGTATTATATGGATAAAGAACACATCACCACTTAAAATTAACAGAAGTATTTGATAAGCTGTTTTGAAAAAATCTATATACTAAAAAAAAAAGAAAATCTCAATACTCTGATTGAAAAAAGAAAAAATTGGCATACTTATGCTGCATTTATCCCTAATATGGAAGGTTTTTTTTTTTTTTTTTTTTTTTACATAAAGATATCATGAGTTAGTTTTTTGCGCACTAAGACCTAAGACCGATTCCTTCCTCCGCCGTGTCCATCCTCATTTTGTATCGTGACTTGTGCATTTACAAGATGTTAATATTTTTGTTGTCTTTCACAGGATTCAAACTCTAATGGTTTGATTAAAACCCTTTTATGTTATTATTGTTTTCATGACATCCATCATGTAATTAAGTTATGATAGAGCATAAATTGATTTGAAACGAGAATAATTAGAACCATTCCGAGAATCTTAGATTGATTATTATCATTTTAAAGAAGAAACTTAACCAATTGCTTCCATAAATTTTTGGCTAAACTATTATAGAACATTCTCTGAATTTGGGGTTGGTCACTTCCCCTAAACTATAAATTTGATTACCTCCCCAATTTTTCAATTTATTCATTCTTTTCTCTTAGCATTCTTCATCGTTTCATATTTGTTGCCTTGTGGTATCTTATTATTTGTATCTTACAACCATCCATCAACTTCTGCAATATCCCCTTGGCAGCTTCCTGTATTTTTTCAATTATCCTCTATAACTTGTGAAGTATCTGAACCGATAAATGGGTAAAAGCCAAATTGAAATTTCAGGCTAAGGGCCTGTCTAACAAAATTTATAGTTTGTTTCGAAGAAAAAATGACAACCCTTATGGTTGAAGTTGTCCCTGTTCCTTCTCTGTAGAATTAAAAGTTGGAAGTTTCCAAATAAAACAGTCGCGGACAAGACAACCAACTTTTCATTAATGCATTGACTTTGCAATGGTCTAGCAATTTTTTAACCAAGCCCACTGCATTGAACAACAGCTAATTCGCTTTAGGATGAGCACAAGATTTCTGCTGAGACTGCATTATACATTACAACAATATTGGAGGGGGTCAAAAAAAAAAAACCCAGGTCAACATCTTAAACTCTTCTAAATCCGTGTTTAAATTATTTAATCAGGGGGTATCCAGCTGTTCTACAAGTGCAAAACATGGTTGGTGATGGCATCAGGGCAAGATTGGGCTTGTAGAAGCTCTAAACGTGTGAAAGGCGGAGCAAACTGCAATATGTAATCTTCATCTGAGGCCACAACCAAAAAAATAAGTAGGGAGAATAAATCTAACCCTCGCATGTAAGCAATGATTTTTCAAAATTTGTAAAAAGAAACTGAATGTTACAAACTCACTTTCTTTTACTGTCCCATAAAGCCAGCATAATACCTCATCAGCAAACGCTAGGCACACACCTCCCTGCCAAACAATTTTATCAAAGTCAGGATATGAGGACAGTGACACTGAACATTTATTTCCCCGATAATAATGTATCTGCACAATGTTTATCTTTTAATTTCAGACATCAGTGTCTTTTATCTTAACAAGCCTTGCAATTTTTTCTTACTTTGATCCCTTTGGATGATCCTCAGGGATGCCTCACCCACAATGCATTCGAGCCTAAAACACCCCCATTCTACACTGGGGAAGCACAACTCCTGACAAGACCCGAGGGACTGGGATTTCAAAAAGTAGAGTTGATGGTCTGTATTCTTAGTGACAGGGCAAGCTCACTGGCTTCCTGTGAAAAGTTTAAAAAGAAAACTACTGACCACAAACCCTTTCTTTACATATAAGATGACTACAGTCTCCTCAAGGGGAACCAAAAGATGGGGTGGGGGAACGGCTTTAAATGAACATTTTCTTTAGTGAGATGATGACCCCCCATTACGATGAGCTACAAGAAGAAGAATAGAAGCAGTTATACGAGTCATGAAGCAATTAGCAGGACAACAATATTAACCTGCCAGTAGTTTTTCATTTTTACTCTCTGTGTTATATCCTTGGTTGTTAGCCTCTCCGTGCGGACAAGTCGGCCTGCATCATCCCTGCAAAAGAGACTCAGAATGATAGAAGATCGACCATAAACCATTAAACAATATCACACTCTGCACGGAGCATGTTTGAAAGGGTTTGTACAAGAGAGAGTAAAACTGCAATAATTCCTTCTGATATGTCTCAAAGCTGATGTGCTTACATGGAGAGTTGGTGTCTACAATCTATACAACCCTTCTGATTCAATTCAACCTTATTAGGATGGTTAAGTTAATTTCCAATCAGATCTTAGAAGGGAGTATTTGCTGGACAGGCCAGAAAAATGAAAGAAAAAAATCATTAACTTTCTCAGATACAAAATGCTCGAAAGTAATGTAAAATGCCCCATAAAAAACCTCATGATTTTCTGCTTCAGAACTAGAAATTACCTATATCCAATAACGATATAAGGAACACCTGCTAAAAAAGCTTGAATCTGCAACAGAAAATTAATCCAAGTCATTTGTTTCACATGAAATACAGACCAAAAGCGCCTATATACTCCATTTCATAATATAATCTCATAACGAACTCCACAAAAAAACAAGCATAAATCTCGCATCAACAAACAAAATTCTTGGACCAAAATATCTAAAAGACAACTTAGACAGGGGCAAAGGGACCTTACAGGAATGTTTAAAAAATATGAAAGGTGGTATGTAAAAATCAAGTATAAATCTCGTGATGGCAGGAATCTTATTTGTTCAACACAAAATTGCCAGAAATAAATGAAAATTTTTATTCGTATGAACCAGTATTTTCAAAGAAAAGGGCCACTGTCTAGATTTGCCAAGCAACTAAGAAACAGACTCATCAATTACATAAAAAAACAAGTGCGGATGTAAAGCAGAGTGAACCTGCAGGAGGGGGAGCAGATCAGAACTCCCAGTAAAGTATCCTTCATACAAATAAAGGCTAGTTCCATAACTTGTAGGCATTAACACAGTATAACTATCTAATGATGACATCCTTTCACGATCAGTAAACAAATTATATTTGCATTGTGTAGTACTTCTCCTTTTGCATTTTTGCCTCCTTTGGGTCTCTAAAATGTGGATAGCTATAATATTTGTCCAGGAATTAATAACTGCTACCCATAATCAGGGCCACAACATGAAAGCACCTTTTGGATTGAGAGTTTAAAGCTTTTCAAAGAACTTCATTTCAAATGCCTTATTCAGGCTTGTATGCCCAGTGTTTGCATAGGATTGGTTTCCATATAATTTCAGCTCAAAAACTGAAGAGGAATAGAAAATCAGTTCCTTCCATTTCAAAGAATCAACAGCAAAGGGAACATATCTTTTATGTCAGAATATTCTGTCTGGATTTGCTACAACGATTAAAAAAAAAGTCTAGAAATGAATGACACCATTTGGCATTCCAAGAAAACCATTTACAGATAAATGACGCCATTTGGCATCCCAAGAAAAACACACAAAAGTTCATGCTTCCATAAGTACAGAAATAACATAGAACCAGTAAACATAAGGAAAAAGGGAAAATATGTGATGGAGAAAAAATATACCCAACACTTCAGCAGTTTCTCTTTCTCGAATCTTTCCTCTTGATGATAATTATCTATCTGCATAATAAAGTGACAAGATTACAGATTATCCAAGTAAAGATAAGGTTATACTGATAGAACAATAAACAAAAGATGCCATGAAAAAATATTAAACGCGCATGCCAACCTCGCGGTTAGTCTTCAACTCCACATAAAACCTCCTCCCACTATCAGTTGAATCACAACAATCCATTTCAGCACCCATCAGAATACGATGAGCCCCTAATTTGGTTTTAATCACAGAACAATATTCAACGTTGGCATCAACATGATGTATCCCTTCTCCATCAGCTCTCCTTGGATCTTCAGTGGCAAGACTCTCAAAGCAATATCCCCAATAGCATCTAAGTTAATAAAGAACTTACATATGTCAACAAACAATCCATTGGCATTGACTCTAATTAGATGGCCAACATCATTTAACAGTTCAAAATAAATATGCATTAAGAACCTCTAATGAAATAATCAACAAGAATGCTTAACAAGACTTTTACAACGAAATAGCATCCAGTTGTGTATGCGCTAAGAAAGGAGTTATCTTTCAAACCTAAACACATCATTTATGTATGCCGCTTTCTGACCTTGAGAACCTACAGACAGGTCAGCATCATTACAAAATATAGGCAGGTCCAATACCTTCTACGCTCCAACTCACTTTGCGGCCTTTCTGGTAGTTTATGCACATCAAGATAGACAACTCCATTCCTTTTGTGCACCCCCATTTCCCAAGGTTCATGTCGCATATAAGCAGTTGTCAGTATCTGTTTGTTGAAAAAAAAAGAAAAAACTGAAAGACCATAAAAATTTTTGATGGTTTTTTAAAACCATTAAAATCCATTGAACTTTATCTTTCATGTCCTTTCCTGTTCCTAATGTTCAGTTGCATACTGACATGGTGCATACTGACTCTATTATAATTTATTTTTCTGTCTGAATGATACTTTATTAAGCTGCACATTGAATGAAAACTGTTTTCCTTAGTATTCTTTGAGAAGCCAAACAGAGACCCAGTAAAAGATTAACAAGAGTATTGAGCAGCTCAACCATACTGGCTAACCCAGACTCACCACTAGTGTTAGCAGGTGATATTGTGTATAACGTATTAAGAGAGAGAGAGAAAGAGATTAGAAATTACCTTGTTAAGGTTATTGCGGAAAGTCTGCGAAGACGAGGAGAATCAAAGATTTAGTTGACAATCTTCACTAATATATCATAGGCATAAAATATAGAAACTAAAGAGGCAAAAGACATTTCTTACCACAAAATGCATATTTTGAAGTGGAATGTTTTTGTCTCTTATGCATGCCAGAAGGTCACCAAAACCCTGGGAGCCCAAATCTAGTACAGAGGAGAGAAAAAAACAGCATCTGCATATATTAGCCCTCGACATATATCCCTATAAAATAAATGCATAAATGCAAGAGACATTATTTGATGTCCATCGCATCTCCATTTGGAACCAAAGAGTCACAATTTCTAGATTGAAGCCATACCCCTTTTCTCAATAAAAGTATCAAAGCCTTCATTCAGATCAGCTCCAACATCTTCTGAAATAAGACGCTTGAAAAGTCTCTAATAATGTGGAAAAAAGATTAATATGAATGCGCTAACCAGAACAACAGAGTATATCATGCATAATTGAAACCTCAGAAAAAATAATAAATTCAAGGATAAAGAGGAGTGGAAAACTTACCAAGCTGCGATCATCAAAGCAGACATCCCCACCCTCAATTCGACTATAGCAGGCAAGTTCACATGGCTATCGATAAAGCAAAAGAAAACATCAGCATGACAAATAAATAGCTTCAAAAATATTCACGAAGCAACCAAAATAGATTAACAACAGTATAAAGTACATCTGCAAGGTGATCATGCGGAGTAACTGATACTATGCCTACAGGGTCTTAAAGTCCAAATAAGATAGCCGAATTGTAAAAGGACATAAAGTTAGAACCATCCAAATTTACTTCTTGTTTTTTTTACTTGCCTCCCATCTCAATCACTATAAGGGATGCTATAGAGAGAAGAATATGCAGCACATAGACCACTTAGATTTGGTAATCTAGGTCAAAACCAGCACATGGTGAGATATTAAATCCAGAGGTTCCGATACTGATTGAAACTGTTAGTATATCAACCAGCAGAGTGCTTGATTGATCACTGAGGAAAAGCATTACTAGAAAGTACAGACAAATTGTCTACCTCCTGAAAGGCAACACATTTTCTCGATAATGTTTCATCACTCTTGGAAAACTTCAGTTCAGAAACAAATCTTTCATCACGATGACCATTTGCAAATTTTGAACCATAGCCATAACCCTGCCTGGGTGGAAATCCTGGCCGGGGAAGGAGGCCTGCTCCTCTATTATTATGCCAACGACCACGTCCAAAGTTCCCCCTACCCGGATTGTGTGGATGGCGTATGGCAGGCAACACTGCCAAACAAATTTTAAGGAAAAAACTCGTAAATATTTGGAAAAACAGATTGCAAGACGAGAAAGGAGCCAAAATCAATAAATACAATTATAAGTTGCTCAATGTGAAGCAGGACTAGTTTAGTCCACCCAACAATCAATCGCTTCAAATGATAAACATGCTGTCATGAATCTCATTACAAGATAGTAAGAGCAACCATACCGCATTTTCCTCTAATATTGTCAAAAGCTTCCATGACATAAAAAATTGCAACAATTCTACAACCCAGTAATAATAATAAAAAAATGTTCATCTTTTTTATGAACAGTGACTGTAGTAGTAATTATCTTGCACATCAAACTGAGAAATACCTAAAACCCACTAATATCCCATAATAACAACCAATTCAATCCAACCCAATCAATCCAAAATAAAAGAGAATCACCCAGATAAAAAGTTATACCAGGAATAGGGTAAGGACTAGTAACAGTGGTTTTAACATAATCTTCATTATCAGAACCAAAAAGATCTCTCTCTTCTTCTTCTTCTTCTTCGTAGATATCATAACCCCTTTCACGGTTATTGTCATTATAATTACTATAATACTGATTATTATTTTCCACTTCTCTAACACCCTCCTCTTCCCCTCCACTGCTGGCGCTCCTACTGCCTCCAGCGCCGCGTCCTCCATCGCTCTCTTCGCCATCACTGCCGTCTGAAGAAGATGAAGCTGCGGCTGATGATGAAGATGACGAAGATGAGCCAGAAGACGACGATGATGATTGTGAGGAGGACGGGGATGATCGGCGAGCACCATTATTGCCATCCTCTTCTTCGTACTCTTCCCCAAATAAATCCAATTCTTGTTCAGCGAAACTCATTTTTTTTCTTTTTTGGGTTTATGGGTTCTTTTTTTGTGCCGTCCGTCGCAGACAGCAGACAGCAGATTTGGACACTGCGTGCTCGTGCTTATGCTTTTTGCTTACGGTTCCTTCAATTTTGTTTCGTGTCTTTTTGTTTGGATCGGAGTCGGGTTTCGGCTGCTGATTTCTTATCATGCGACCTTTTTCTTAAACGTGGCCCATGGATACGATGTTAAAAAATGAGTACTATTTATTAGCACACATGACTTGGGCTAGTCCAGCCCACTTTACCATTTTCTGGATGCGGGGAGAGATTTTCTTACTCAACGATACGACGTAACGACGAGGCAATATCACGTGCTTAGCTATGATAGCGCACCCGAGTTAACACTCAATTGCAATTAAATAGATTTAGTCGAAACTAGTAGGTTTATCGCGTTACACTATAAATGGAGTTAAATATATGAATCTATTAAAATATTTTAAATTAAAGATAAAAGATAAAATAAAATTTTATCTAATTTTGTAATTTTTAATTAAAATTTTATATTTAATTTATTCTTATTTATATTTTTCTTCAATTTTGAAGATAAAAAAAAAAAAGATTTGTTCTTTCTTTTGTATTTATTTTTAAATAAAAAAATGTAATCATTTAAATATAAAATTTTAAAAAATATAATATTTTTTTCCAGAAGATTGCATCAAAAAATAAAGCAATAATTAATATAAAATCTTATATAAAAATTAACAAATGATTTTTTTTATTCTTCGTTTAATGCTGATGAGAATATATATATTTGATTTATAAATATTTAATCATAAAATAATCAATAATATTAGTATAAAAAATGTATTTGAATTATTAGGTGCTTCATCTAAAACATTATTTCAATTTTTTGTTAAAAGAAATTAATTTTAAAATATTAACAATAAGAATAATATATATATTCTAAAATCTGAAAACATATTGTATATATTTTATAATCACCAAGCTTATGTGAAAAAACAAATAACGATTAGGTTTTTATAATTTCCGCTCACAATTCAATAATAAAAAAATGAATATAATAAATTGCTGGAAAAAAAGAGAGACAAGTCTGCACGCATGGGTTGCAGAAGCTATTCTTAAATACAAATAACAAAATTATATTGGGTCATTACTTTGACTATTAAAAATAAAAATATAAACCATAAACTTTTCCCAAAAAAAAAAAAAACTAATAGTTTAGAGTCTAAATAATTCAAATTGATAATATAGGTCTTATTTTACCACAATTTGAATAATTTAAGGATAAATTTTGTCATTAAATCAAATTTCAACGATTAACGTTTGATCGCTATAGATAACAAAAGAAGAATAACATTTATTCCAAATTATATATATATATATATATATAATTTGGAGTCTAAATAGTTCAAACTGATAATATAAACTTTAAATTATCACAATCCAATAGTTTGAGGATAATTTTTACTGTTAAATCAAAACAATGATGTAAAATTAGCATTACTCCAAGAAAATTTGTATAAATAAGATTGTCTTAAACAGTATGCTAAGATATTAGTTTTCTCCTTTCCAATCCAACAAACACGGCAATTCCAATTTAGGTAAAAGGGGTAAGAAATTTTTTTAAAATTATAAATGTGTATATTGAATTTGTCATTTTAGATTTTACAGTATTGTTATTCTAAAAACTCCATTACTTTAAAAGTATTCTACATCTTTCATTAAAATTATTATTAATAAATATCCTAACATAAAATAGACTTTTACTGTAATTAAAGATTTTTTTGCTTGTAGTAATTTTTTTTTAATCTCTGATTTGTATATTTTTCTTTCATTTTGGTCATTAAAGTTTTATCACTTTTTATTTTTATTCCTACAACAACATTTTTTTGGTTTTTAGTAAAACTCTCTGTTTTGTTTTGGTTTTTATTTTGTGAATTTTTTTTTTTTTGGTCATTGAAATTTTATTCTGTTTGATTTTTATATTTATTATCCTAAAACTAAATATAGTTTCATTATCCTAAACTTTTTTAGCTTTTGGTGAAACTTTTCTTTCCATTTTGGTTCCTGTTTTGTGATTATTATTATTTTTTTGTTATTAAATTCTTTATAATGTTTGATTTTTATTCATGCTTTATGTATAATGAGTTTTTTTAGTCTTATTATTTATAAGCTGTTTTTGACTTTTAGTATAACGAGTTTATTATTTTATTTTATGATCGTTTACTTTGTTTTAATCATTTAAGTTTTGTGGTGTGTAATTTTTATCCCTATATGTTGCCAAATAGGTTTTGCTATGTTTCAATTTCATTTCCATGAGACAAAGTTTTTTTTTCTCCTTCTATCTCATTAACAAACTATACATAAATAACATATAGTAAAAATTAATTATCCAAAATTTAAAAAATATCATATTATTATTTTAAGTATCGGTTATTATATATATATATATATATATATATATATATATTTCTAATAAAACGTATGTTTATATAAAATAATATCTAATTATCAATATCATATTGTTCAATTTTACTTTTTTTTTTTTAAGCTAGCCTCACAAAAATGCATAAAATATATACTTTGGTTCTTTTATTCTACGATAACACATGAAAAAATATGTTAGCTCAATAGTATTAGAAAAACGAAATATATGCTAGATCAATACTATTAAGATGTAGCAGCGGTGACAGTTGTTATTTGTTACTACCGTCTTTTTTAAAAAAAAAATTATATATAAAGAACATATAGTAAAAATTAATTATCTAATTTTTAAAAAACTAACCTTTTATTATTTTAATTATTATACATATTTATAATAAAATATATGTTTATATAAAACAATATCTAATTATCAATATCATATTGTTTAATTTTACATGCTTTTTTTTAGCTAATCTCGCGGCAATGCATAAAATATATGTTTTGATTCTTTTATTCACAATTCATGAAAGAATATGCTAGTTCAATACTATTAAGACGTGAAAATAAACGAAATATATGCTAGATCAATATTATTAAGATGGTAGCAGAGGCGACAGTTGCTATTTGTTACTACCGCCTTTTTTTTAAAAAAAAAAACCTAGTACTTCTGAAATATCCAATATAATTTTTATTGAAATTATCAATATACAACTAGCAGTAGCAGCAGTAACAACTACTACTGCTAGTGGTCTCCTATTGAAATTATCCAAGTGCTACCTACGGAAAAAGATACTAGAATTTCAAAAGTACTTACAATTCGCATTGATAAATAAAAATAAAAAATCTTGTAAATTCACCGTTTATTAAAGTAAGAATAAAAAGATAACAACAATAAATATTTGCAACAAGTACGAGTGGTTTGGTCATAATCAGAGTGGAAGATTTTAATAAACCTCCTCCACCAAATTTCCTGTTATATTAGCCAAACTTCCTAGGAATTTAAACTGCCACGTGGTTTTTTATTTATTTATTGAGAATGCCGACTCTTTCATTAAATATCACTTTAAAACTAACACAAAAATCAATATATAGGATCAAACCCTATTATTTATTTATTTATTTTACAATATAGATTTTTTTCCTTAAAAAAAAAAAAAAACAGACAGTCAATTAATTATAGTATACGCAGCCAAAATTCAAAACACTCCTTATAGCTCTAGTTGTCTCCTAAAAACAAAACTAAGTTTGTTTTGCAGCTTATCTGTCGTCTTTTTTTTTTTTTTTTTTTTTGTTGCTTTCTGCCTCCATATAACCCACCGAGATCACAGCAAAGCATATATTGACGTTTTCGTTGCATAGAATTCTGTTCTAAGTTTTTCGTGCCTTTACTCGCTTACACTGTGTTTTCAGGTATTATCTTCTGCAATCTTCGGTTACCATTATACCAGGAATTAATTTTTTTATTTTATTTTCCAATTCTTTTTGTCACAAGAATTTTTCTCAATTTGTTGCTGTAAAAACGGGTTTTCTAATAATGGCTTGATGGGTTTTAGGACTGTGTAATAAGCATGTCAACAGCAAAGGTATATGAGAGGAAACGTAAAGGCAAACAATTTGGCAGTGCAATGCAGATAATGGAGCCTCTTATACAGCAGGTTTGTGCTCCAGAAACTCCAGAAAAGCCTCCGCCTCTACCAGCAAGGCCACAACTGGTCTATGTTAAAAGGTGCTCAGAACATGATTCAGAAAGTTTTCTGGCTAGAATGGCAGCAGAAGAGGCTCGAGACCCGATTTGTGCAATTATTACTGCCGCGACTTCAACAAGCGAGAATGGACTTTCCAACAATTCAGTCACGCCAGTGGATAACTGCAAGTACTTGGACTCTGGTGCTGGTACTGGTTTTAAGATAGATTTGAACGAAAGTATCTATGACTGGGAACACAATTCTACTGCTACTGCTCATGGTTCTCAGACATTAGGAGATTCAAGTGAAGGTCTCCCTGAGGGCGGCTTTCAATCTGAAAACCACAATCTTTTGTCCATTCAAGACCTGGAGGAGAGTGATAAGTGCGGAGAACAATGTTGGGTACTTCCTTGTAAGTGATTTCAATTTTTTTGTCTTTTGATTATTATATTTTCTGTGTACATTGAATAGGATTTTTCTCTCTCTCGAAGTACTGGTAATAGATTGGCCAATAAAACATGTTAGATACATTAGTATTTACTTTGTAAGAATTCTAAATAATTGATATTATCAATTTGAATGCAGACGGTAAAAGTATTTACTTTGTAAGAATTCTAAATAATTGATATTGTCAATTTGAATGCAGATGGTAAAAAACAAGATGCAGAACATGGTATGAATGATGAGAAGCTGCCACTTGAGCCGGTAGCTATTTCGACTCCATTACCAAACAGAAGTGGCAGCAAAAGACCAAACAATGGCATTGATCTGAACAAAATGCGAGCGAAGAAACCCAAAAGGAAGAAACATAGAACGAAAGTAGCTGTGGAAGGTAAACCAAAACGGACTCCTAAAAAGATGCCAAAGCTTGCAACCCCAAAACGTATCCAAGAGAAAAAAGAGAAGAGGAAGTATGTTAAGAAAGATGCAACTCCGAATTGCATGCGACGGAAAAAGGAGAAGAGGAATTATGTTAAAAAAGCTCCTTCTTCTATCAAAAGTAGCCAAGAGAGTTCAGTAACAGAGGATCATAAAGAAGTTGCTGAAACAGCAAAGATGGAAAATCTGCCAGTTGATGACAACAAGATGGCTATGGTTAGTAATGTAAACCATGATTTGAAAGATGACAATCAATTGGGATTAGATTCAATCCAGCCTGACATGGATAACAATAGTGGAGCAACAGTTTTGTTGAGTGGTGATAACTTGGGGTTGGAATCAAATCAAAATGAACTAAGATGGAACTTTCGTACAAAGATGTCTGCAGGAGAATATTGGCCGAGACCTGGTTGTCAATATAATTCTTTGCAGGCTTATAGAAGGATTTTTAAAGAAGAGTCCTGTCTCATTAATAGCAGAAAGGTTGGGCCTAATGTTCCTATAAGATCCATGAAAAGAAGGACCAAGAGGAGGCGTAAATTGAACATGTTCAGCTCTTTATGGTCGTCTCATTTTAGTGGCAATATAAGAAAAAAGAGATCTAAGGTGTTTACTAAAAGAGTCGATTTCACTTTTCTCATGGCAGGATTCGCAGAGAAAGAGAAGGATTTAGTGACAGCTCCTCCGGATTATATACCCATTCCTGAAGGACAAGGGTTTCAAACTCTAACAGATGGCTGCATTGAGGAAGGGCTTTCTCTTGAACAAGCTCTAACAACTGAAGTTAATGGAGTTCAAGTAGTCTGTGAAGCTACAGCACAAAGCTGCTCTGAGATGGGACCCTCTGCTGCAGAATCAAATTTTCAAGATGGTAATAGGAAACAACAGTCACCGAGAAAGAAGATTCGAATCACTGACAAATCAATAAAACGTACGTTTGCTTCCCTTTCCTTGACTCTCTAGAATGATGCTAGTGTAAATTGCTTTGTCGTTTTGTTTTTTAGCATGCATTTTAATTACTCTTTATCTTTTTTGCTGTGAAGTGTGTTGTTTATGTGATGACAGTTCCTATCCCAGATATATTCATAGTGGATTAGAGCATCATTGGGATTTTGGGACTGTTTATAGAAGTTCTAGAATCTGTGCAAGTAGAAAAGCTGTCGTCAAGAATAATTGGAGCTTATGAACATAGAAAAGTAATTTTCTTGTAGAGGGAAATAACGAATAGTGTGCTAAAAATGTGCAGAAAATGTTGAACATTTATATTTATGAGGAGGAAAAGGAGGCTAATAAGAAGAGAAACAAAAGTCAAGACAATTTTTGGTGCGCTCTAACCTAAAACTAGAGCAAGAGAGTGTCAGTTGATAGTTTTGATTAGTAATTAATCTTCTGACCTTTCTTCATAAATGTCAAGAATAATGGCTGGACACTTAGTGACGAAAACATACAATGATCCTGCTTTTATACTGTCCTAATTTAATTCTATGAAGATGCTCTAGGAATCAAGCCCAAAGAGATAAAATCCAAGCCAAGGAATTTTTTACTCCCGGGGTACTACTAATAGTGCCTTTTCTAGCTTCAAATTTGCTCTACGTCAAATTTAACTCCTTTATTCCACTTGTGAATGCACAAACTGGCAGCTTGGCAACATATGCTTCTTCTATCCCACTAGCAGTACTTTCTCAATTCTGAAACATTTACAGAAACTTTGCACTACGGCTTCCACAAGCTCTTCTGTTACGTATTCTATTATTTAACATTGTAAAAATATTTTGCAGCTGGACCAGAAGTTTTCGAAGAAGAAAGTGGTACTCTTCTTAAGACGGTTAAGCTTGCTGTAATGGATAAACTTGTTGATCTACTACAGAATTCAAGCATCAACAACAATGACAATATCAGTGACAGACGGGGTCCTGGCAGACCGAAAAGCAAACCAGAACATATAATTGACGGACAAAATGCTTTAGTTCCCTACCGGGGTCGTGGCAGAGCAAAACATGAAGTTGATCTAGGTCCAGAGTCATTGAGAATATGGAATCAACTAATGAAAATAGATAGTGGGGTGGGTGAAGAAGAAGAAAAAGACAGAAAAACGAAGGAATGGTGGACGAGGGAAAAGATCACTTTCAATGGACGAATAGACGCATTTACTTCTCGGTTGCATCAGTTTCTAGGTACTTTCTTACTGACTACCATTACTTTTCATCATTTAAAAAGTAGATGACTAAGTTGAGAATTGTTTGAAAATTTGGCTTTTTTTTTCTTTTTTTTTTTCCTGTGGAAAAGACAGTGTTTGAAAATTTGACAAGTTCGTTATCTAATCTGAACATCTGTTGCCTTCTTGGTATTTATATGCCTATAATATATTGAATTTGGATAGCTGATCCCTAGCTAATGAATTCTGCATTTGATGAACAATCTGAGAATGTGCTGTCATCTGTCTAATTGACAATATTGTTAATTTTACATCCTAGTTGTTCATCCAAGTCTGTATTGTAGACATTAAGAAGCTAAACTTTAAAATCATTGCTTTTTTTGCAATTTTTAGGGAAAAAACACTTCGAAATGAACTTTCAATTGCTCAGTTATAGCTTATGCTGCTATATTAAATTTAGACAGGTACATTAACTAGTTGACTAAAGGGCACATTACATGCTTCACAGGTGATAGGAGATTCAAACAGTGGAAAGGTTCTGTTGTGGACTCAGTGGTAGGAGTTTTCCTAACCCAAAATGTGTCAGACAATCTATCGAGGTAAAAATAAAAGTTTTTTGGCTTTTTTTTCCTCCATGGAATGTTGCTCTTAGAAAAACAATACACAATTAATGAAGGGAGCTTTGATAACTTATTGCTATGGTTGACAGTTCTGCATACATGTCACTTGTTGAAAAGTTTCCTGTTCGGTCAACCAGTAATCAGCAAGAGTCAATGACCGTAGATGGCCAAAAATCAATTGGGAGCAGCATGACATCCATTGGAGCAAAATATGATTCAGATGGAAACCGATATTTTGTCACAGAAGTACCTGAACCAGATATGAACCATGGGCCCAACGATTTACTAGCAGAAAATGTTACATGGTTGCTTCAAGAAGAGGTGCAAAGACAGGATGGTATTGTGAGATCAGGACCTGAAATAGATATCAATCTTGTGCCTCAAAATTTACCACCTGAACAGCCTATATGCTTGCCTCTTGAAGTGGTGCAAAGACAGCCTCAAAATTCACTAGCTGAACAGCCTATATGCTTGCCTCTTGAAGTGACCCAAAGACGGCCTCAAAATGTACCAGCTGATCAGTCTACGTGCTTGCCTCGTGAAGTCGTGCAAGGACAAAGCGGGAAAGAAGCTTGTGATGAAACTGGAAAAAAGAACAGAAGCCAGAATGGGAAAGCAGCTTCTAAGGAGACTAAAAAGACCACTCCAAGAGGGAAGAATAAAATTGTTAAAGATATAGTACTTAGAAAAAGGAACTGGGAGAGTTTAGGAAAGATCTATTCAAGACCAAGAAGCAAGGATCAAATGGATTCGGTGGATTGGGAGGCAGTTAGACAAGCAGAAACTAGTGAAGTTGCTCGCATCATCGAAGCTCGCGGTCAGCAAACTATTATTGCAGGAAGAATCAAGGTACTGGAATTTGCTACATGTACTATACTTTCTAGTCAGAATTTATCATTTCTTTAACTCAAGTTATTTTCTTTTAACCACAAGGTGGTAGTCTGCTGGTAAACAAGCATCAACTTGTAGACCAAGTCCAAGATTCGATCCTTATGGCCAGCACTCTTGAGAATTTATTCTCAGAATACCTGAGGTCGTGCATTGGGGAGTGTCCCTTAGCCACCCTCAGGAGGCATTAATCTTGAGGTGCGCGAAAGCTGGCCTGGGACACCTTTATTGCTGAACCTGAAAAAAAGAAGTTATTTTCTTTTGAATGTAACAATAATCCCATCATTTGATAGGAATTTCTGGATCGAGTTGTTGACATGCATAAAAGCATAGATCTGGAATGGCTACGATATGCTCCACCTGATGATGTGAAGTAAGTCCACGTATAAAAACTTCATACAAGAGTGAAGACACTGATAAGTGACTCGGATATGACTTTCTCAAAATTTCCAACTTTGTTCACTTCATTGTCTTCTACTTACAGGGATTACTTGTTGGAGTTCATGGGATTAGGCTTGAAAAGCGTGGAATGTATACGACTTTTGTCTCTTCAACAGGTTGCCTTTCCGGTAAGTCACAAAATCAAGACGACAACTACTTGTCTACTAATAAAACTTTCCGATAAACGCAACAATTTCTTTATTTTTTTGACAAGGTTGATATAAATGTCGCCCGGATAGCAGTTCGTTTAGGATGGGTCCCCCTGAAACCACTCCCTGGAAGCCTTCAGTTCCACCTTATAGAAGAGTAAGTATCATGAAACGATAAGCTTTGTAGCTGATAACATTGTAGGTCAAATGAAATCAAATATTGTTTTGGTGCAGGTTCCCGATATTGGATAACATTCAGAAATACCTCTGGCCCCGACTATGCGTGCTTGACCATAGAACGCTGTAATCCTCAGTTTTCCATTTGGACTATTTGTCTCACATCTGTGCATTCCATTTGATTACGAGCTGCTTTTTATGATAACCAAGAAACAATTACTGACTCCATATATTTACCAATGCAGCTATGAGCTACACTATCACATGATAACCTTTGGAAAGGTCTGTCGTCGCACTATATTTCTAGTTTTTTGTTTTTAAAATTTTTATTCTAATCTAGAAAGGTAATGGTTAAAACTTGACTTGTAATTTATGCAGGTTTTCTGCACAAAGAGAAATCCAAAGTGCCATGCTTGTCCAATGAAAGCAGAATGCAAACACTATGCAAGCGCACAAGCAAGGTTTGAATCTCATCTTCTGTTCAATTCTCGTTATTGAAACTTATTATAGCAAACACTGGAAATCTCGACACCTTTAAATTCATTTTTGCGATAGTTTGTTTTTCAAATAAAATCTAACATGAGAAATTGAAAGCAGTGCTGCCAATCTTTCCCTACCAGGACCGTCAGGGAAAAGTGAGGACAAATCAATTGTTACCTGCAAGCCTAGTGGAAATTCTAGTTCACTTGGAAACAATCGTGTCATTACAAATCCAATGTCAGTTACCCTTTTAGATGGCAACAAGAGTACAGAATCTGGTCCAAATGTTCACACTTGCGAACCCATAGTTGAGGAGCCAAAATCGCCGCAACAAGAGGACCTTGAAGATTTTTCATGGGATGAATGTATTGAAGATGAAGATGAAGAAATTCCCACTATCAAACTCAATCGTGAAGAGTTCAACCCAAATGGGCAAAAGACTTCATACACCAAGTTTATATCGCAAGCTTTAGTTTCTGTGGGGACTACTCCATTGTCAGCACCTAAAATGAAGCATATGACCTCTTTGCGGACTGAACATCAAGTGTAAGTAGAGATTTCTTATTCATGTTCATAAATTAGTAAAATCTTTTTATGAATACTAGTACAAGAACAATTTTCTTAGATTTAATTATATATTTCAATTGCTTTCTACTCTAATGTAGGTATGAACTTCCAGATAGTCACGAGCTTCTGGTTGGGGTAAGTTATAGCTCCCTGTCACTCTGTGATGTCAAGTGTATCTGCTTGCTTAAACTCTATTTCTCACTTTATTCTAAATCTTTCAGCTAGAAAGAAGAGAAAGGGATGATTCAGTACCTTACCTTCTCGCTATATGGCAACCAGGTACACTTACAAGATATAACACTGAAAGATAGGTTAATTTTTATCCAAGTAGTCCAACAATAGCATCACATGCAATATTGCAAAACATTCAGAATATTTATAAAAGTTGAAGAAAATGATGGATTTACTTCGCACTTTCTAGTTCTCTTGATTCATTTATTTGTTTTTTTTCCAAATGATAATTGATTAAACCTGGCGTAATGCTTCATATGCCAGGTGAAACTCCAAATTCAAGCCAGCAACCTGAGAAATTATGCAACTCGCAAGGATCACAACTCTGTGATCAGAAAACATGTTTTGCTTGTCAAGGTATTCAAGAACAGCAAGCTGGTACGGTTCGTGGAACAATTCTGGTAAGTGAAAACTGTACGAGTACATGTGCATGTCCTTCTTTTCAGAATAATCACGGCGATTATGTAATAGATTAATGCAAAATAACACATGCGCAGATACCATGCAGGACAGCTATGAAAGGAAACTTTCCACTCAATGGCACATATTTTCAAGTTAATGAGGTGAGTACATTCAAAGAAAAAAAGGAAAGAGAGAGTTCCAGTTGCAGGTATTTGAAGCCATAAGCTAGAAGTTAATGTCAAGTTATGCTAATAAAAATATGTTTATCACCATGCAGGTATTTGCTGATCACAAATCTAGTCATGACCCGATTGTTGTTAACAGAGAATTGCTATGGAACCTACCAAAGAGGACTTTATATGTGGGGACATCAACATCATCAATATTTAGAGGTAAATAATTATTCTACAAGATGAGGAATAACATACATTGATCACACAACTGACAGATTGACATTTGGTTTTACAACAGGTTTGTCATTACATGAGATTCACCAAAATTTTTGGTCAGGTATGGATTGATCATGTCCCAAATCATTGACAAAAATAGGCATCCCAGTAAAAATATTGCTAGAATTATGTTTTTTTTTTTTTTACCTATTCAGGTTTTATTTGTGTGAGAGCATTCGAGCGGGGAACAGGTGCTCCAAAACCTCTTGTAAAGAGATTCCACTGTTCACCAAGCAAAATGGAGAAGAAAGGAAGGAAAAAAACAGGTTCTGTAAGAGATGATGCTAAAGCCATCACGCTAAAGGGCGCTTCGTAGTGTGAACTGTTAATTTGTATTAGTTCTCTTGAGTCTAATTCTTGAACATGATCTGTCTATGCAACATAAGTTGCATTCATTACTCATGCCAATCCGAAGTCTGTATTATTCTGTAAATAAAAAATACTCTATAACTTATGATCAATTTGATGGTGCTTCTGGCTTAAGAATGGTTTCAGCTACCTCGATGCTTCCATACTGACCCTTTTGTCAAATAATATACACACATAAGAGGCCAATTAAATACTAAAATGTATCCATGTCGTCTTTTTCATGTTTGCATCTTTGGTTTGATGCACATAAAAGCAGTATAGCTAGTGGCCACCTGCTGTCACACAAACTCCCCGCCACTGCCATGTACTTTGCCGGAAACTAAGATACCATACGAAGATAATAAACATCACGATGTGCATACAGGTGGTTCAGTCACTCTGACATGGTCTACATGATGTTTTCAGTGAATTTTGACTATCAACAGAAAAGGCAGACCGAAGATTGATGACTTTCGATCAAATTTATGAAGAGTATGGTTGTTTTGTTTCGGTAGGACACTACACTAGTCTTCAAATGTAAAAGCACCATTAGCGAACCACTGAAACAGCTGTGATACAAGTGAAAAACATCTCGTGCAAACAAGAAACCAAAGACAGGAGCTAAAATTCTAGCTAGGTCTGTGCTGCCAATCTCATGAAAGTAATTTTACTAGGCGGGGGTTTCGTATTTGACAACGAAAGCTGTAATTCTCTGACCAATAATTTTTGCATGGTACAGAAGTCAGCTGATCAAGGTGCTCACTCAGTGCCAGTGGCATCACTCACCGGATCGCATCCACTAGTACATTTATGATTTACAAGAGAAAAAGTTGAGTGCTGAAGCCTGAAGGTACCCGAAGAAAAGCGAAAAATAGAAGTAGCGTTAAAGCTACCTATTCCTTTTGCCTTGTTCTGGAATTAAACTCTGCTCCCTTCACAATATTATTAGATATGACAACGCAAAGATATAAGCAGCAAAGCATAAAACAGTGGAGTAATTTAATTTTGGCAACGAGATAAAAACCAAACCATAAAGCATGACCATGCAGAAAAATTAACTGTAGTTACTTCAACAAGTGGTTTAATGTGCAAAAACAGTCAATGATTTTTCACTTTGATCAACCAAAACCTGCTAATGGCTGTGGTGTAACACAGAGTTGCTCTCTACATTCATTTGTAGGGAAAAACATGAGTTATCCTCTCCTTGCAGAGGACCATGCCACCCTACAGAGAAAATCCATTTCACAGCCAGATGATTATCCCTTTAAGCCACTCCAAACTTTTATGAATTCAAGTTGGGTTTGTAAGCCAACTTGACAAGATGTTTGGAATCAAAAGAATCTGTAGCAACAAGATGATGCCGAGTTGCATCCAACTAGAAGGGTCTGCAAATGGATTTTCCACCAATTTTTTGGATAATTGTTGCTATAAAATATCAGGTCCATCTGACCCAGAATTCACTTACATTGCCACCATTTATGCAACTAGCATTCGTACTCATCAACTATAGATCCAAACTTTTGCAAGACAAAGCTTCAGTTTTGTAAGGCCAACTAACCAAGGACATTGATTTCCAAATGTCCTGCCCAACTTGAAAACTTCTGATGGATATCAATCAATGCCAACCCATTTCCTAAATGTCTTAACATACTCAAGCCTCTTTCTTTGAGCCTCAGTTCTTGCCTCCGATGCTTTCAAACTCCAATATAGATTCTTATGAAACTTCAAGAACTCAGCTTTATACATCCACTTGTCACAGTACATATCACGCTCTTTCATATGACCAATGACCTCCATTGCTCTCTCAAAGTAACCTCCTCGGATAAAGTTCAGTAGCAAAACCTCATAGAGATCCCTACTCAGCTCTAAGTCCTCCTTGCTACCCATGTTCCTCTTGATATCCCCCCACAAGATTGTAATATCACGATACATTCCCAAAGAAGAAAACCCATCTATCAGATAAGCAAAAGTTTGCACTGTGGGTTGGATTTTCATATGTTGCATTCTTCGATACGTCTTCAATGCATCCTCCATCATTTTGGCCTTGCAAAAATAGTAAATAGAAGAATTTAATTCATAAATCGCAGAAGGAATGACCTTCTCTTTCTCTCTCATTTCTCGAACTAAAAAGTTGATCAGATCTGATTTACTAGAGGAAGATGATGCATCATTTGCTGCTTCTGAAAGACAAGCAGTGGCAACCATCTCATCAGACAATTTCATATCAAAACCAGCCTTCCTCATTTTTCGTAGCAGTGTCTTTGCTTCTTTGAACATCTCTCTACTATAATATGCTGTTAAGAGTGCCATATGTGAGGTAGATCCTAAGGAAACACCAGCTGCATCCATGTCATCCAAGATGTCATGAGCCATTTCCAGCCAACCTAAGAGAATGCAAGCATCAATCACATCAGAACATAAGCTGGACTGGCCGAGCGCATGAAAGTCCTCTTGAATGCAAAGTAGAAGCTTTGAAAGCTCAGTAGTTCTCCCATTTCTTCTGTATCCATTGACTAACTTTGCCAGGGCTCTGTTACTAAGAAGAAGTTTTCCACTCCTAAATATTACAGACTCTTGTTTATGTTTCACTCCGAGGATAGAATCCTTCTGCAACAACTCTGGCATAACCTGTATCGTCAAGCCAGTCTTGAGATTGTTTGATCCAATTGGAACAAGGAGAGGCTTTTCTTGGTCCATCGTTGATTTTTTTCCAGGAACAGATTTCTGGAATTTATGCATATCTAACACGAGCTCTGCAGCAGAGTCGAGGTCATCAAACTTAAAGTGTAATTTCAACAAACTATCATAAAACTGCCAATAATAACCAAGAAAAGGTGCACACACTCTATCAACATGATCCTTCAATTTCTTGATCTCATCCCTCTGGCCATTCATTTCATGGATCTGGGCAAAAATAATGACTGAGTTTGCATCAGCAATAATACCTGTTTGTGACATCAATTCAACTATTTCTTGGCCTTTCAGAGTTGATTTGAACCTCACACAAGCATCAAGAACAAGGTTGAATATCATTGCATCAGGCTTTACAACTTTGGCACGAACACTTCTTTTTGCACTTAAACGTAGAAAACAATCGCACATCTGAACCAAGAAATTTGACGCCAGACATGTCCCAATCTCCGTCTTCAACATATGTGAAACAACTGACCATAATATATTCAATGGGGGCATATTCTCCCTCTCTAGCATCACCCTTAGAATCATAGAGGCAGGAGCAGGCATCTGTGCTCTAGCTAAGGAGAGTGAGAGATTAGTCAGGACTGGGAACTGAAGCAAATCTGGTTTTTCTTTCAATATTAGGAAGACCAAATCGCATGCCTTTTGTAACCAGTGAGGGTCAGATGAGTAGGAAAGTAGAGAAATTAACCTACTCACCATGGAACTTGTGGGAAAGCCATATAGATTCTTGAAGTCAATAAAAGTTACCCAAGCTTCATCTACTTGATGATCCTGCAAAGCAACTTCAAGCTTTCTCAAAAGAACAGCATTAGAGGAACCTCTCCAACATATCCTCCCTGGCTGACTAACACTACCGCTGGAGAAACGTTGGAGAGCCACAAACTGATATTGTTCACAGAATACACCTAATTCTTGAAACCTTCCAAAGGATTTTTTGGAAGAAAATTCTCGACTGTGATCTGCAATCAAGGCAGTCTCCTGAACAGCCGAAGGCACAAAGACTCTCGGTGCATAGTTGTTCATGAACCGTGGAAGCAATAGAATCTTTCTTGACAAAATTAGCGCCATACATATACACCATCAGAGCTGCAATGCATCTCGCATCAAAATAGTTCCACTGAAACAAAGAATCCACATGCTAGACAGAGATATGCCTTAGGAAAAGAGTACACCTGCATATTTAACCAACAACTGTCCTCAAGACTGAGACCATATTGGTTGACCCAGCTCCTGAACAGGTACTCAGCAACTGGAACTCTAATACCCACACTCTCAAATAGATCATCTGTTTGAAGAAGTTAACTAAATTAGCCATAGCCACACAACTAATCACGTATATCATTGACAAATTAAAAAAGAAGCAGGATAACCACATATTTATCCCAACATAACAGCTCGCACGATGATCAGATTCAGAAAGAAAAATACGGTGTCATTCAGATAAAACATACAAGCTGAAGGAAATAGAAATGAAAAGAAAAGAAAAGGGCCCAGAAAGTAACAGAGAAAATTGCATAATTACTAAACCAAGTTAATAGTAAATTTATCGTCTTTGCTAACATTTCAAATAAAAGACATGTATAATGAAAAGGAGAGGTTGTTTTAGTATAGCAATGAAAAATGCAAAGAGATAAAGAATGAAACACAAACCTCAAATATCGGCAAAGACAAAATTTTCCTCCTGCTTAAACCTTAATCAACTCAAGAAATCACTTCCCTGCTAAAACGACAACACTGGAAAAAGAAGTCGGTTGAGGAGGTTCGCAGCACGCAAAACTATTACAGAGAATAGAATAGCCCACGACCTGTTTGATGATGGGCTGGATGTCTCTTTTCTAATGGGTTAAAATAGGTTTACTTATAAAGCTAAAGCCCATGATTATTGGCTAACACGGTCACCTCAATAGGGAGGATCCAATGGCTCTCTGCTAACTGCTGAGTCTCCCAGTCTCAAAACAACAGAGAAAAGGGAAGAAGTCCGATTTTTCCAATCAAAGCAACAAAGAAAACTTATTGTTTTCTTGTCTTGACTTTTTTTTTTTTTTTGGAGTACGCGAGTTCATCAATGTATCGTCCAACTAGTGACCAATAAGCCAGGGGCTGGTCCCAAACCGAAGAAGAAAAGGCTTCTCTTGTCAAATACCGGAATACCCAAATCCCTTGAGAATGTTCTAGAACCTTCAGTGCTGGGTGTCAAAAATGACGAAGAAAAGAACCCTTCTTCAATCCCAGAACTCCATGATGATAATGTCACGTGCAATGCGGTTTCTCTTTCAGTCGTCCCTTCTTTATTTTCTTTCTTTGTTTTTATTCTTTTATTTTCCAGGTTTAATCTATTGGTGGGTGTTAATTAATGTGTTATACTGTACTATGATGGATATGTAAATTGAACTGTTAAATTAGCATAGCATTAAAGGAAATGATAATCAAAGGTCTCTCTCACTCTAGTACATAGTTCAACACATAGTATACCAACTTTGCATCGAATGATCTTGTTCTGTTTTGTTTATTGGGTCTTCGTCTTATGCAATGGGGTTGGTCAAATAGTTGATGTTACGTAGTTTTTTTTTTCCTTTCTTTATCCTTTTTTTGGTATGAGCGAATAATTTGAATCTACTGTCGCTGCAGCTTATAGAAATAGTTAAATTAAAATAAAACTGAAAGTATTTGATGACACGGAGTGGCGCTCGGGTTTGGGGTTGAGGCTTGGTTATTGCTGTTGTTAAAGCTGATATCTTTTAGGTACAAGATTGGACATTCTAAGTGCGATGGGGCGCAACTTAAGTTTCTTATCAGTAGAATGAATGCATTTTCTTTTCTTTTCTTTTTCTTTTTCTGAACCAAGGAAAAGTTTCATGCTGTGGTAATTTAAAGAGAAGACTTTAGTTAAGTTGATTACTTGTTTGTAATTTGAGTCTTATGTGTTGTTTGAGGGTATTGTTATAATCAACTTTGGAACTTTTGCTACTATGGAAATGTATATGCCATTCATGGCAGATAAGTATAGTTATATGTATGTATTAGGATATCATGACTTTCTTTTGAATTAATCTTTCAAGGAAGTGAGTGTGAATGGAAGCATGAAATCTTTCATGAATTTATCCGCGGCATCTTTTCTGCTGTATGTTACTGTTTCTGGGATTAATAGGCTTCTGCCATTTCTTCTTTTCATTGGCAATTTGGACTTCAAAATAACCAATTTTTCCCAGTCTATAGTCATGTTTTAGGTCATAGGTTTGTGTCATTTGTTAAATTTTCTTATACATGATGCACATTGACAACATTATTTCTACTGCTTTGTACAATTTTCCTATGGATTGACAAATTATTGTTCTGCTTAATGGGTCAAATTACAAATTTATGTATTCCATATTCAGAAGAAGATGAAGAGAAGGATTCTTTCGATTTAGGCATCAGAGATGCAGGATTTTATATTGAAGAGAATGAACAAGAAGACGAACATGAACCTAGTGAAGAATATTAACCTGAAGAAGAAAGTGAGTAAGGGGCAGAAAAGGACCCTGAAGAAGATTAGTCGTTTTACCATGAGGAAATGGAATTTGAACATAGAATTGCTCAGACCGGATAACAGTCGTTTTACCATGAGTCCTTTTACAATTTTTGTTTGAACAAAAAAATTCTATTAAAATATGACTTTTTTGTTTGTTTTAAAAACCTTCTCTGTTTTAAAGACCTGTTGTGGACCCAAATGATGAGAGTTACAATGATGAAAATTAGAAATTCAGACATGAAACCAATTCCTGTCAGTCTATTGGCATTTCCTTCTTCATCATCCTCCATCTTCAGTGTTTCATCAGTCTTGAAATCCTTACTGGTTCTCTTCATCAATTCAGAAACCTATTCTCACGCTGTCTAGAATTTCAACTGGTGGGAATTCCTTGGCCATCCACTTGTTCACGATAGCGCCATTGGTTATTTAGACAGACAGTTACCAATTCTTCGCCACCTTCCATCGCACCTGGAAGCTAACTAAATGGTACATAGTTCACCCAAGAATAATATTCAGGGTTGGAATAATGTAGCGGTATGCATGTTGACCCATAAATCAATTGAACATCATTGCTCGTATTTTATTTCTGTTTGTGGCAGTAAGCATAAGGGAGGGGAAGTTTTCTTTAACTAGCTCCACAGACAGCCCAAACAAGTAGTCCTTGGATTTCACTCTCTGGTACATAAAACGATAATGATGATCCATCTCCACGATGAGTGAACCAATCCGGTATCTCAATATCACGGAGGCAAATGTCAAGATGCTCGCCCTTGAAAGATGCCTGTTTCACGTAAGACAGGTTAGAAATCCATGTACAAGAGCAAGAAAGATTGATAGGGGAAGAGATTGCCTGAAGAAGAGACTTCTTGAAATTATTTGCCAGTTTGCTGCAATTGCCAACGTAAAAGAGTGGTTTATTTCCCGCATTTCCTAAACCCTGAATATCAGCTAGTTGTTAGCAATTAACTACATACATATCTGGTACTTTTTTTGACTGAATAGATAATCTTTCTATGGAAGTGAAATGATACACCATCAAAGAGTGCAAACTAGAGGGAAGCTCTGAGAATGCTAGAAGATCTGCACCCTAGTACAGGCACAATACCTCTAGCTTAGGAAGTCTATCTTTGCCTCTAGGCAGATTACAAAACTTGTTTCTTGTGAAATTCAATTCTTTAAGTGAGGATAACCTTCAAGATCTGCCCCATCGGATAGACCACAGTAACTGAGATTTAGTCTTCTTAATGAGTTTGGGGTTTGAACTTCTTGGTGAAAGCCAAGGTAAAATTTGTGAAAACCGAGATACAGATGACAAGTCATATTTGAATCCACCCAACGATATATATCTGAGGTTCTTCAATGTCCAATGGAAGATGTTATTCGCTCAGTTGCAGTTCCATATGCTAGAAGCATTGTTAAGGCTTCCAAATCACCCAACTGCCCTGGCAATTTCTCAAGGTTTATGCACTTGGAAAAGTTTAAAGTTTCCGGACATTTCAATTAACAAATGCTTTCTGGGAGGTTCTTTAGACTCTTGCAGTCCTCCAAATTCAACAAAATAAGGCTATCCGGATGAGAAATTTTAAAATACTCCAGGATTGATGAACCTCGACTAAACTTGCGCAACCTTCAAGTATCAATCTCTTCAGACTAGGGAGTCCCACGAATTGCAGTGTTGTAGCAGGATACAGCTAAGATGAGGATTTTCACCTTATTGAAAAACTGATTCAACAGAGAGAAAAAGGGATTAATATATAACGATTTACAGCATGTCAATTATATAATTTGAATTGATTTTGTTAAGAAACAAAAACTTCTTGTATATTTCGTACTTTGATCCCCTTCCAGACTTCTCTGATGTTGCTGTACTGCATATCAAAAGCTACTAGACTGTCTAGCTGGAAATTTCGCAGTAAGGATTTCAAAGGGCATCGATGCCAACATAGCCATGCCAAATCTTTGGAAAAATACTGATCACAGTATCCAGGGACATGGGCTGCATTCATTTGGAGCAACCTGAAACATCTCATCTCTGCAAATGATTCTGTGTTCAAAACTACATCTTTTGATGCTTGTAAATCAAGAGTGCCTTAATTGTGTGGATGTATATATGAGAACTACTATCAAAAGTAGCCTTCATGTGAGTGTGCATAGGAAGATGAAATTCATATAGTAGTATATCAAATTGCAGAACATCTTGTTATAAAATTTCTATTAATTAATTGGTCAGTAAAATAAACTTTGGCCCATCACTCAAAAAGATAAGCAGAGATCATTTGTATGCTTTCCAAATTGATAGCAACAACTTGCACATTTTCAATATCCTTACCTGAAAAAGGAAAATCCTGAATTACATAAGTGATTAAATTAGTCACACAAAAATATAGTAACGAAATTTCCAATTAATCCATATTTATGCAAATGCAAATATGAAAAAAATGAATAACACAATTAAATAAAAATAAAACTGAAAGGAAAAGGCACACAAAAAGCACCCATTTATGTTTTTTTTTTTGCATAAAATGGTTAAAGCAACTGTGCATGTACTACGCATTTGTAACTTATGTTCACAAAAATTTCTTACCATCTTTTTCCTACATTCATCACATCTTCCTGAAACCAAAGTCTGGTACTTTCTCCTGGATGTTTAGGTGACATTTCAAGGATTATCTCCCTTCCCATGTCTCGTAATAGATCATGCATCCTTAACTCATTATACCAGTTAGTTGTTATAAGTACTGATCTTTGCATTAGAACCTCTGTACAAATTTTAGAGTAGAAACCACAGCCATCAAGCAATGTTGCAACAAAATCTATATCAATAAGAATAAAGAAGCATGCGGTCAAGGAATATATCCTTTGTATTATCATCATCAAGTGCATCAAAACTTACTCCGAGTTTCTCTGAGTTTGATGGTGTGGAATTTTTTTCAATTTCTTCACAGCACTTCTCCGTTCACCTATGCTTCCTTTGCACAAATAAGAGCCTAAAACTTCAAGAGCCAGTGGAACGAAAAGCTTTTTGTGTGCCTTGAAGGCATGTGCAACGAGAAGCTGAAGGGACTCGTCATGATTCGATTCTTTAACATGATGTTTTTTGTCCGCTTGAAGTTAAGTTAGCAAATGTTCGCGTCTGCTTCCAAGGCCAAACCAATTCCGCTTTCCCATCAATGCACTTGGTTGTTTCAACTGATCCAAGTCATCGATAACAACAAGAACTCTTTATATGACAAAGCCTTTCTTTGATGAGAGCGCTTCCTCTATCAAAATCGTTAACCTTAGAAGACGTTTGCATGCATGATATCACAAATAAGGTGTTCTTGTAATTGGATACGACCGTTAGGGTTGTTCTGAGAATTCTTTGATATTCAAAACACAACAATTTCCTTCAAATTCATTACAACGTTGGTTAAATGCAGTTTTTGCGATGGTTGTCTTCCCTATTCCTCTCATTCCATATATGCCCACAATGCGGACATCATCTGTACCAATACCTAGCAAGGAAACTACATCCTCAACTCGAGAATTAATACCTACTGGGCTTGAGGCAACAGTCGAATATTTGCAGTTTATTTTACTAGTGGGTTTTCCGCATCATGCAACCGAACAAACTAAATATATTTATTTTATTTTGATAACTTGTGATATACTATCATTCAATTAAAATATATTAAATTAAGAATAAAAACATAAAAGTTTATCTAATTTTATAAATTTTAATCAAAATTTTGTATTTTATTTATATTTTTCATAATTATTATAATTAAAAAATCCTCTCTCCATTTAGGAATCACAAATATCTTTTGAAAATATAAGAGATCAAAAATATTTTGTGAAAACATGAAAGAAGAAAATAAAAAGAATGTTAAATTAGAACATAAATTTCTAAAAATACTCAAAATTCACAAAAACACCACCGGCAAAAATTACTAAAATTGTCACCCAATGAATAATTGTTTTGAGGAAATGAACTATGAACATTGTTCATAGGTTTTTCATTTGCTCAAGATGTTTTAGTTTTATTCTTCAACAGTCTTTTCAATAAACTTTGCTTCATGTCTGTTCACAAAAATTTAAAAAGAAACTCACTGACGAACTTACAGAAGTCAAATTTTGCTACCTAATCTATAGTGTTTAATGACTATATCAAGCTTAGCTCATTTCCTTGAACTATCCTGTGTCTCTTAAAAGCTTCTTTAGCTGTCTGTTTTCTAACATCAGAGGGATCAATGTCATAGAAGATGGGAACAGCCATTTGACCAATGCCACTTTTGCATTCCAGAATCTCAGAAAGTTCATCAAGACACCGTGGAGGAAGCATAGCCTTTTGAACTAAAACAGTATAAAGATGATCTGTGAAATTCTTTCTGGTGTCTTCGCCTCTAAAAGCTCGAGAAAACATCATATTTCGCTCTGTGAGTTTGTGAAAATGAGGAGGAAGATTGGTCTGAATTGCTCCTGGCAGCCAAAGAAAGCCACTGTTCACTGGTGAAGGCGTCAACGGAGAAGTTGGGTCTGGTTATTAACCAAATTAGTTAAGGCCTATAAACCAGCTGACTTTGAAACTGAGTTTCGCTTTCAAAGTTGGAATCATATTTAATTTGCCATGCACGTGGGTCTTTTTCTCGTCATTGTCATGCACTAATTAATGGAACGTGGAAGGAATCAGTATTGACAATATGACTTGGTGGATGTGAATAGCTACTCTGCACCCCGGCAGTTCTACTAGCAGTCCCGTGAGTGCACATTCTTCACCTGCTTAGGAATTAGGATGTGATAGTTTTGGTACCAATTGGAACAAAGGAACTAAAAAATATACTACAAAAAAACAATACCAAGCACTAACTACAATCCACCAGGTTGAGTTGTCCTTTCCTCCACTTGACACATGCTTTTAATTTTTATTATTAGTTCTTTAGACAAGCGTAACAGAGAATTCAATTAGATAATTACCTCTTCATCTGGGTACCCAATTAGAACAAACGAATAAAATAGGAGACACGTAAACTTTACAGACATCACTGACTTGGAAGTTTTTGCAAGAGACCAACTGGCCAGCCTTATCTACACGTTTCCTGGCCGCCCTACTGAATGAATTTCTTATAGGTTTGCACGGGCAACAAATTTAGTAATAGCAACAATCAAACTAAAGAGAACTGTGAATTTGATGCTGAGTTTTAACTCACTACAACATCGATTAGAGAAATGACGCTTTAAAGTTAAGATGAGAACATCATAAAGTAATTTCACTCGTCAATGTAGAAAGCTTGCAACTCAAGACCAACACACTTCTCTTTTTATCAAAAATCGAAAGCTAGTATTTCAAAATCTAATTGCAGTAATATCCTAAGCTACTCACTTTTTCCCACCCTCTATGTAGCAATCTCATCCACTTCTGAATTAAAAACAAAACTTGGAAACGTTGTTGTGATGTCCCTGCATGAGTTTCAGAAAAAAGAAATAAATAATTCAGAGAAGAATTACATGACAGACCGCAAATTGTAATAAGGGACAGAGAGATGTTTTGTTTTACCATACCTCAAGTAGGGGAGGGTCATTATCTTTAACAAGGATGGATTTCTACAAACAAAGTTCTCCCACTCAGACCTGTCTATCTTCCCATCTCTGTTTACATCAGCGTCCAAAAAAGTCTGTCCAAGAACAATTAAAAACTAAGTAAAGAGTTTTTTCAGAAATTGAAAAATATAACAAATACTCAAATATTGTAACCAAAAAAAAAATCATGTCATCATACACTGAACATCCGTCTCATGGCTAAATGGTTCAACAAGACATAAAAACCTTTTTGCTTTTTATGTTAGGTATAAAGCAAGTGCAGAACCGGATCAAACCATTCCCAAGAGAAATCATCAGCTAGGCAAGTTTTTCCAGTTTCTTGGTCTACCATAATTTCGTCTGCAACTTAAACTCTATAATTGCTTCTAAATTGTTAAACAAGAAAATCATAAATTTCATACTATTTTGCCACTACATAGCAGTGCTGGATCCAAACCTAAACGGATGAACAGGTTGTTGATCCTAAATTTATACCAGAGTACTGACAGAAAGAAATCTGTTAAAAGAGACATGTAAAATTCAATGTAATTCAGTTGAAGGCAATAATTCACCTTATCAAGAATTATCTCAACAGTCTCATCAGCTAACTTCATTTCCGATTCACAAAGAAGTGCAATCAACATTTGTTTAACCTGTCAACAATCACAAACAATGAGCAGGCCAGCAGTTAGCTTCAATAAAAGGATAATCAAATGAATGAAACAAGTCTGGAAGGAATGTTGCACTTTCTTTCAATAAGCTTTTTATTTGTACATACCAACAGCTAAATAAGCCATAAAGAAATCTCATCAAATGGAGGAAAAAGTCATTGCCAGATGACAAACAGAATTATGTAATGTCAAAAGAGAGCATGAGATATTGAATTTATACTGAGGAAGCAAATTTTAGTCATCTGTGATCTTTTAAGCTACGCTTACTACCATCGAATTGGAAAAACAGCATAAAAGGAAAATTTTAAACAGCAATTTAACTTTTCAGCTACGCCAAGGCACAAAGTGTAGATAAATGCTAAGTGAATTCCTGCGACCCCAAGGGGCATTTCTGTTTTGTATGGAAGGCTGTATGAGGAAATTAGCAGCAATGCAACAAAATATCAACAGCAAACCCTATCTTATTCCTTCGGATCAACAAACCGTACCCTCTGCCAATATTCTACATCTTCTATACATCTTCAGCTGTAGAAGTTCGGATATGGGCAAAAGTAAAAGGTAAAAGAAGAACAAAGGACATAAATTAGCCAGGAACTATCTTTGCATAAGGGTTCTGTTTCCCTTTAACACCCAAAATACTTACTGTAGGGGGGAATCATTCACCAGGCCCTAGCCATATGCATTTCTCTCATTGCACAAGTAAAATTAAGAACTCTAAATCGCTTTCGTAAACTTAAAAAAAAAAATGACCATCTTCATACCTCTTGGCGCTCAATGAATCCCGTGCTATCCAGATCATATAGTTTAAATGAGACTGCAAGAAATTTCAAACAGTAGAAGTTAGCACACAGCAAAATGAAATGAATAGAGGTCGAGAACAAAAAGACAACTCCAGTTTATGCAATTGAAGATCATCATATGATATGTATTTAACTTACAATCTATCTTGTCTTCTTGTGAGGCGTTGGGATGGAAGACATTGAGTGATCTAACAAAATCGCTGAAATCAATGACTCCCTTGTGCTTAACATCAAATAGATCAAAAATCTGCATGCAAAATTGTTTTGAATGTCAAAACCTATCCAACTGAATGAAATTTGATAAGAGCAGTGTTTATAATGCTAGTCATGACAAAAATACAAATCTTACAAGTTGTTTTCAACTTATTGCAATGATAAATGATTCTTCTTACAATTTTATTATCGATATAGAGATAAAAGAAAGGTTAAGTAGTTCGCTCCATGACGAATTTCAGGAAAGAGCCATGTTCAACATATGCAATTGAGATAACAATAACTATAGTGCAGGTCATGACGGATAAAAACTGGAAATATGTGCTTTTTAAACATTACAAAAGGCAATTTCTCTGTTCAAATATTTTTTTTCTTCTCAATAAAGAGAATAAAGAAGGTAAGATAAATACCCTATTTGCAAAGAGATTCTCTTTCTTTCTGTTCTTGAAAAGAGCCAACTGAAACTCTTCCTGCATATACAAGAAAATACTTATTATTTCCACACAGACTCTTTGATCTAATAATGCCAGATGATCATCTAACAAACTCACAATCAGATCAACCATGCATAGGTATTGTATTCCTCTAATGTATGTGCACACAGATAATTTGGACCTTTTATATGTATTATATGCAAGACGGATTAACTTAACATGGTTGGAAAGGAAAACAATTTACACAGAGGTCACTATCATCAGCATTGGCATCATCATGATCAGCACTAAAATCCAACATTCTATCATCTTTGAGCAACTGTAGCATTAATCAGTGCATAACATCCACTAGGTTAAACAATTCTGCTTGCTTATGTCTTCAAATGAGCTTCACATCATACTGTGTGAGCAGAAATGGAACCCAACTTCAGAAACTCCATTTCTTGAATGATATCAACTATCTAATGCTAAATTCTTCTTCTCTTTTTCTTTTTTCATGAAAACAGAGGCTTTAAGACAACAATTGGAACTATCCAGGCCGAAATGACACATTCAGGGGTAGCATAAACTTAGTCTACCACATAAATAACCACTAAAAAGTGTACAAAATGCACCATAATTGCTGAAGATAAAAAATTCAAATAAATAAATAACAACAGATGAGGAAAAAAGAGTTCTAGGTTTGAAACACCATTGATGATACCTTGCTTATTAACCCATCATCAACCACAGAACTGCTAATGCTTTTGTATAGTTCAAAAAGTGCTTCAACTTCACTCACACTAACTGAAGGATTGAAAAAAAAAAAAAAAGAGAGACAAATATCAAAGACCATCAATAAAAATTAACAAGAACGCAAAAGTGCATGTACAGATATGTGAATGCACAGGTATAATGAAATGAAAGGCATGCTGACTTAAGATACTGAATTTCATACCCTATTACTTCGAAGAAATAAAAATTAATAGTTTAAAAAAAAAAATGCAAAATAAGATAATGAAAGAACACTAATTCAACATAACTACCGGTTTATGATTTCTTTACCCTTTTTGGACTAGACAGTTTATCTTTAAGCATCTCCAAAACAAAACAAAAGTTTCTCAATAGCCCAAAAAAAAAAAAAAGGCTAAACAAATCACAATAAACCAATCCTCTGAACTGTTTTACTCAAAAAGCGATTTAGAACCATGAGTTTTTACAATCTCATGAATGAAAAAAAAAAAAAAAAAAAAAAAAAAAGAGTAAAAAATAAGGATAGCAACTTACAAGCTGTTTGTGAGGCAAGGGCAACAGGGTCCTCATGTCCAGGAAACTGTCTTGCTACTTTAGAACTAAAACAGCCCATTTACTGGCAGAAGAGGGAAAGCAGGCAGCAACCCAATACTAGACTTTTAAAGCCTAGCCTTCACTGACTACAATTCATCACCAAAATCATCTTTTTTAACCTTGCAAATTTCAAGACCCTCCATATTCAAAAGAACACCCACAAAAAACAAAATTAGTAATGCAAATAACTCCCAGAAAAAAAAAAAAAAAAAAAAAAAAAAAACATTTTTCATTTTACTTTGATAAACAAAAAAAAAGAAAAAGAAAAAGAAATCAGCCCAATAAAATCAGCTTTTCAATTACTTCCAACCAACAGATCATTAAAACTGCTTAATTGAATTTAATAACGAAAAAAAAAGTAAAAAATTTAAGATTTTACTAGCCGCAAGCAACAAAACTATTTAATCGAATTTACACATGTGCGAAAAAAAAAAAGTTACGCTTAAACTTTGACTGGCTGCATTCAATATCTAAAAAACACAATTAACGTGTGAAAGAATAATTTATCATTTCAAAAGAAACCAAAAACACAAAATTCAACTCCAGAATTCTTCATTTCCTCCAATTTCCCTGAAACAAACTAAACGAGAGAAAAGGAAAAGAAAAAAGAACAAACAAACAAAAATAAAGCACCAGAAAAGTACGAATCAATAAAAAGAGAGCGAAAAAAATACAATTAGACGTAAATATTTACAGCCCAAAAATTAGCGAAGCAGTTACGCATGATTAATTAAAGGGCAAAAAAGAGAGACTCACCAAAGCAATAAGAAGAAAAGAAATCTGAGCGTTCGCAGAAAGGGAGAGAAAGGAACCCCTCAGAGCGAGGGGGAGAGGGAGGGACAAATAAAAGCTAAAAAAGAAAATAGCTGAACACAAAACTCGAGATCGAGAGAGAGAGAGAGAGAGGGGCTTGGTAGATGTATTATATTGTGGGTGTAACAATTTGTGTTACCAACTATATAGAGCGTGATGAAACGGCTATTATTCACTTTGTCCTCTCTTCTGTTCACGGAACTCGCCGTGAATTTTTCACGCTGTTTTTATTTTTTTAATTTCTTGGTAAAAGAAAAGAAAAGGAGGTGGCCAAGTTAGAAACGGATACGACGCGACGAAACAAATAGGAAAGGAGAGGCAAGGCACGTGAAGAGTACGTGCTAGTAGGAGAGTGGGTGAAGGAATCATACCTTGGAATATTCGTGTTTTAAGGAAGGAAACTGCATTTTTTTTTTCCTGTTTAATGCTTTGATTTATTCCATCTTAATCCCTTGCTTTCTGTACTCTCCTTCGTCTCTTTTGGGTTTGGTTTGTAAGTTGTCAAGAATTAAGTAATTTGGATTCCTTCTTATCATATTCACATTGGTATGGTCTCATCTCATGGACTACCACACTTTGGAAAGAAAAAGTGAAATGAACATTCAATTCCACATTAACACTGTTTGTGGAAATTCTAATCTATTACTGTTTTATTTTTATCCAAGTTTGACATTTGGATACCTTGAGTAATCTTTCTCCTTGCAGTTAGTAACCGTTTATCCGTTGAGGTTGAGGTTGGTTTTTATTATTATTTTTTTTTTCCCCTTTCTCCAGCTAGAAAAGCTCAATAATCTTCATATTAAAGCTTTTCCAGCCTCTTTTTCCAACATTGTAAAATAAATTTTATTTCAGCACTCTTTTAAAAAATATTTTTTCTTTAACCATTACTGTAGTTATAGTTAAATTATGAGAGCTTAAATCATAGATACAACCATGCATAGTACGGGACAGCTGTAACAAAGTCTAACCTCTAAGCTAAATTGAAACTGTAATTGTAATTTTCGGTTAAAACAGTTGGTGAAGTAGAGATTGCAAATAATACCGAAAAAAAATTAGAAAAAGCTTCGAAATTGAGCTTTTTTATATATATAAATGCTAGCTTTGGGGTTTTCTATATATAGATTTATTTTTTATTTTTTTACCAGCTTTTTTCTAGAGTAACATTATTAGGTTTTTTTCTAAATAACGTTTAGATTCATTTCCGACGCGTCATGGGAATGAATCTATATGGTGCATCTGCATCCTTTTTCTATGTTTTATTTATATTTTGGGTCACTTCTGACTCCTTATCTCTTGAGATCAATGGTACGATGGTCCCAAACGGACGAAGACTAATGTACATTTTGAATACGAAACTTTTAACAGAGAGGACCATTTCCATTCTGGCAATTTGAATGAGTTGTGGTTCTTAAAATTCAAAATCCGGATACTATGCTTCTTCTTATACGGTATTAGTTTGCTTTTGATTTGGCGAATTGAATACAAATTTTTTTGGTAGCAGTTAAACTTTAAAGCCCCTAATTTTTGCTTTTTGGATAACAAATTGATAGTTAATAAAAATTACTAATTAAAAAGGATCTGTCGTATATTTGCAAGGAGATTTTTATACGTATGGTTTATATTATATCTGTAATTACTATTTACGACAAGATAATATCAAATTTATGAGATACTTTTCATTAATCTGTCGGGAACAGAAAACTCTTCCAATTCAAGGCCTGTAGTGAAGGTCAGGCCATGCCGTCAACCGTATTATGGTCAGTTTATAGGTACATTAATGATGACCTCATAAAGATAATAGAAACATAATTATATTAAATTTGATAAATTAGTAATACCCTTAGAGGCTTCGCTTTATGGGTCTTTGATGTTTAATTTGGTTGATACCTAAAAGTAGTTCAATTAATTCTTTGTATTGGATGATCAAAAAAATATTTTTTATTTTGGATGCTTTAATAAGATATGGATGATTTGCTTAAGATTTGATTAGAGATGGATTGGATTTAAAATGGATAAAGCCAAAGAAAAAAAAACTCAATATGTATGATTGATTGTATGATTTTTTTTTTTAGATTAATGGCTAAATCTATAGTAAAATAAATTTTCAATATATGCTTATATTTCTAATTGATTCAAATTTATTTTTAAACATATGTTAAATTTTTAATTTATTTTTCTAATAACATTTCAATCTAAAACATCAAAATTAATCACATAATTTACATATAAAAGCATTTTATTTATCTGACTTGTAAAGATATTTCAAAAATAAAATAAATCATATATAAATCACAGACACGACTAATCCTAGTGGTTTGATCTGAAAATTTGTATCCAAATGATAGAGTATAATTTAATATATATTTAAGAATAATATTGGTTCAATTATAAACATAAGAACAAAATTAGAAAATTATCTTATTATATAAAAATATATTTAACCATTAACTTTTTGCTTCCTTTTTTTATACCAACCTGCACTAGAGAAATTGTTGGACCTTAAGCTACGTAATGATTCTATTCTCTCCTTTAACCATCGACCTTATGCTACTGACCCACCATGATCGTACTATTTCATAACTGTACGTGATTGTATCATTGAACATGACAAAATACCCATCCTATATATAATTTGAATAATTTTCCATGCAAGCTAGATAGGTCATTGTCATTCATGTATTAAATCATTTCTAATAAAAATATTTAAGTATTTTTAACATTACTCTTCAATTAAACCAATCTTCAATATTCAATATCGATATTTGGCTCGATTAGAGTCCTAGTTTGAACTTCTAATGATATGAGTTTTGCATTTTGGATGATATATAGAATGGACAATCAAATCGAGAAGAATTGGTGCATAAGCAGAAGGAAGTAAATTTTTTTTTTTCGGTACTTGCTAATTAACGTCAGTGATTAAAATCGGATAATATATAGCATGATTCAGCATTCATTCAGGACATATTGAGGGTATTTAATTATCAATGGAAAGTTGTTTTCCCCTTAGCTGCGGACTCAGCTATGGTTATAACCATCATCTAGTCATCTAGGAGCTAAGATTATTCCATGCTTTCTTGTTGCACTACAAAAAAACAAAGGATTTGCGAGGGGAAATTAGCGATGGTCTCAAAATCGTCGCTAATTTACTAAAATTGCGACGGTTTGAAGCCCTTTAGCGAGAGAAATTAGCGACGGTTTTTCGCAACGGGTTTTTCCAAAAAAACCGTCGCTAATTTCAATTTTTTTAAAAAAAATTTTTGCAACCATTTTTTGCAATGGTTTTTATAAAAAAAACCGTTGCTAATCATAGAAATTAGCAACAATTTTTTGCGACGGTTTCCTCCAAAAAAAAAAAACCGTCGCTAATTCATTTTTTTTAAAAAAAAATTTCTATAACCATTTTTTGCAACTCGTTTTTGTAAAAAAACCGTTGCTAATCACGAAAATTAGTGACAGCTTTTTTTTAAAAAAAACCATGGCTAATTTCAATTTTTTCAAAAAAATTTATTACTTTCAGCCTTTTTTGCGATGGTTTTTTTACCAAAAAACATCGCAAAATTAGTAAATTAGCGATGGTCTAAAAACCGTCGCTAAACCATTACTAATTAAGAGGGAAATGGTTTTTTTTTTAACTTTTTTAGACATTTAGCAATGGTTTTAGCGACGGTTTTTAGACCATCGCTAAAACTTTCGACTTCCTATATAAAAATTTGCCTAAAAATTTGCAAGAAAAAATTTCTTCTCTCTCTTCTTCTTCTTCTTCTCCAGTGCCGATCTCCCTTCCATTTTCATTAAATCTTCCCCCTCTCTTTTTTATTTTCCTTCCAATCTCCTCCTCTCTCTCCTCCTTCCCTTTCTTCCTCCTTTTCCTCTTTCTTTCTTCCTTTCTTCCCCCTTCCTCAACCGGCCATTTTCCGACCAGAATAGTCCGATGAAGCCTCTCCACCGCGCAACCCACTCTCCTCCTTGTGTTGGTGAAAGGTCCTCCCTTATCTAACCTCTTAATTAATTTTTTTAATTTTTTTCAATTATTTACTTAATTTAATTTTAAAGTTTTTTGTTGTTGTTAATTGTTAAGAAATTTTAATTGTTATTAATTATTTAATTATTAATTTTATTGTTATTACTTTTTGTCGTTAATTGTTATTATTAATCGGTAATTTTTAATTATTAATTTAGTTAGTTTATTGTTAAATGTTATTTATT